CTGACCCTCAGCCTGACCCTAACCCATCTGTAACCCTGACACTAAAACCACATGATGAGTCTCAAAAACAAACTCATCGGGCGTTTTGTCCCCATAAGGACTGTTGGTAGCGTTCTAATGTCTGGTCCCCACAAAGATATATAAACGTGTACTGATTCCCTCACACACTTTTCTGGCCTCAGGCTGAAGCTCCGTCAGCGCTGCAGAGACGTCTCGTTGGTTCTGAACCGTTCACAGCTTTAATGTTCATGCGTTCATATTTAAAAAGCTACACAAAGATTACGCTCGTGCTTATCATGACCTGGCTCATGTGTATCTGATGTGTTTTGTTGCACCATGCAGTTTCTTTGCTGAACAGCATCACGGGAGCTTTTATTCTTCAGCACTCGAGTTTTAATCAAACACGTTGTTTTTTTTATCGTAACATTTGAAACTGTGACGCTGGGTTTTTGGACGATTCTGAGATCTGCTGGTTAAACTCATAAAACCACACCTGTGTGGTCAGACCACCTCATTTTATTAAAATGAACATCTGAATTATTTACTTAAAATCCAAAAATTCATTAAGAGTCATAATAACTGGAACGCAGGCTTCTAGAGTGTCAGATGTTTTTAACCCGGAACAACTCCGCTTATTTCAAACTCGAGCCGAGAAAACAGAAGGAAGTCCAAGTCAAAGAAGGAGAAGAAGAAGAATCAGTGAAGAAAGAAGAAGACAAAGAAAACAAGGAAGATGAAGCAAGTGAGCGTTTAACAGAAAGGAAAGAAGAGAAACAAGGAAGATGATGAGCAGCAAAAAAAAACAAAAGGTGAATAAAAAATAAGAAGAAGAAAAAATAGAAAAGAGGAGGAAGAAAATTAGCAGTGAAGAAGAAATAATCTGTAAAGGAGAAGAAGAAAGTGAAAAATCTGTAGAAAGAAGGCGAGGAAAGGAGGAGAGAGAATAAAAGGCAAAAAGGGAAGAAAATGAAGAAGATGATAAAAGACGAAGAAGAAACAAAGTTAGAA